GCCGACTCTTTCTCGGCCGCTCGACTCAACAAGCTTTCCATAGAGATTTTTAGCTCGGCAATGTCTAGGTCGGGCCCCCCTCTCCACTTTCGAGAGCTTTAGCTCGAGGTGACTTGTCGGGCCGCCCTCTCTCTGTATTTACTTGAGTCCCTGCATGCACCATAAGCTGGTCTATCTGCATGCAGGAATAAACATTTGTAACGTCCAAAATTAATTAAATTCGTCTTTTATTTACGGCATTGAAAACGCTCAATGACCAAACAATTGTGTTCTTAGCACAGAATCATGTTTCACTCGCTTATTGAACGGTGAAAAATCAATATGTAATAAAATAAGAGAAAAAAATAAACAAATAGATATAATTCAGGAAGGTGCTATTTTAGTAAATGGAAATAATATTGTAAATGACTCTTGCCTAATAGGGTCTTATTTAATAACATTCAATGGCACCACAATAATTAATAATATATCATATTCAAACGTAGATAATAAACCAGGAAAAATCGATCTTCAAACAATTACAATATTGTTAATGATAATCGTCATTATAATATTAGCAAGCGTTTTGCTAAAATTATATAAATTACACAACAAATGTTTAAAGAAAAAATTCCAGAGTCAAGCAAATGACCTGGACAAAATCTAAATAAAAAACCAAAAAAAAAAAAAAACAAGAAAGGAAAGCTAACTTCGGGCGGAGCCGAAGTTTATATACCCTTGCAGTTAAAACCGGATATATATCGCAAACATCGGATATAGTTGGCCGATCCTTATGGGAATAGGAATATATAATCGAATTTATTACAATACAAAATCTAAAAAAAGTCCCAAACTTCTATCTTCAAAAATACGAAAGTTGATATTTCTACCAACAACCATTTCCGATCGTTCAGTTATATGGCAGCTATGGGATATAGTCGGCCGATCCTAATGAAATTTTATAGGTTGGATCAACTGACCAAAAATAGAATCTGTATTAAATTCCAGCTTTCTATCTTCAAAAACACGAAAGTTGGGTCATTTCCGATCGTTCAGTTATATGGCAGCTATAGGATATAGTCGGCCGATCCTTATGAAATTTGGCATGACGTAATGTTTTGCCAAAAGTAGCTCTCTTGTCAAATTTGAACTCTCTAACTCTAAAAACACCAAAGTTATACCATTTCCGATCAATCAGTTATATGGCAGCTATAGGATATAGTCGGCCGATCCGGGCCGTTCCGACTTATATACTGCGTGCAAAGGAAAGAAGGGTGTGTGCAAAGTTTCAAGACGATAGCTTTAAAACTGAGAGACTAGTTCGCGTAGAAACAGACAGACAGACGGACAGACAGACGGACAGACGGACATGCTCATATCAACTCAGGAGGTGATCCTGATCAAGAATATATATACTTTATAGGGTCGGAGATGTCTCCTTCACTGCGTTGCACACTTTTGACCAAAATTATAATACCCTCTGCAAGGGTATAAATATTAGAATACATTACAGCTCACAATTATAATAATTTTGAAATATCCGAATATATATTATCCAACAATTCGGAACTATCATTTGATAACATAAATACCCTATATCCTTTTATTTAAATTAAACAATACCACTACTACTAACATTACATTAACATTAACATTACATTAACATTAATTTCCCCTCACTCGTTTCTGATGATCCCCAAAAGATTATCCAGACTAAACATCAAGCTCCACTTGTAAACATTCCCATGAAATTTTCCATGGCCCAAGCCAGACATAAACATTAGAGCCGACTCGCCGTCACCAGTCCGAATTGGTTCGATGTTCCGATCTTATCACTCTTCACGAATGACTCAACTACTGCATCAGCAAATTGTCCCTTTCTCTTAGAATCTCTTAGGGCAATTGTTTATTCTCTCCAAGTACCCTTTTGGGTTATTTCTCTTAAGCCGAGGTTTGTTGGTTATCTGGCAATTAAAAATTGGCAGTCTTATTCCGGGAGCAAGCCTTTCACATACAATCGGTCTAGCCTAAGCGTTTAAATAAAGTTTGTGAACCAAATAAGAAATAATAAATAAAGTTTTTAAAAATAAAAAATTAAAAATTATTTTTTTAAAAAGTGAACTTCGGGATAAATTTAATTTGCACGCGTGCTATAAAAATGAGAGTTTGCCTTCCACTGTACTATTGACATGGTAAAAAGAACACCCCAGAAATGAAATTATCTCTAATAGTACCATCCGTGTAAATAATTTCAAAGTTTTGACTAGTTAATAAAGGTTAAAAGCCGAGGCTTAGAGAAGGAAAAATCAACATAAGTTACAGAATTGAAAATGTCTTCAAATTCGAAGTATGTTTTTATTTAACTAGTGTTTTTGGCGGAAAGTTGCTTTAAGTAGTAAAGCAGCTGGGATATTAAAAGTGAAAATTTTAGCTAATTCCTTAGCTCATTAATTTCATTCTATAGGCAGGGGGAAGTTCTGCTACTAGGTGGTAAATAATATTAATAGATGTGGATTTTATTAGTCAAAGTGATTTTCTTTGGCAGGAGTTAGCATGTATTTGTATACAAGATGTAACGGTCTTCGAGATATTGGCAAAGGAAGAGCATGCATATTCGCATTCGGGTCTAACGAAGGCTTTAAAAAACTTAAAAGCTACGCTGAGGTTGATACCGAAACGGCATCCAGCTTATTTAGCAACATATTTGTTTTATAGGCCTCAGCTAGCATGTGTCTAACATGGTTGATAGAGGAGTTGTTAGTACTAATGGTTCTTCCTAAGTAAATAATATGGTCAACTTCCTTAATCACTAGATTATTGCACATATATATAAAGGACGTCTTCTATTATTGAAATGTATCACAGATGATTTGGTAAGATTAAAAGTTATTTTAATAGTAGCACAAGTTTCTTTAAATAGATTTATTTTGTGTGCAAAAGTTTTTCTTGCAGTAATAAAATCTTGGTCAAAAGCAATAAGAAAAAATCGTCCGCGTATTGAAAAAGTAGACTTATATGATCAATAATAGTATGAAGGACGGTTGTATGCAGGTTAAAAAGAATGGGACTAGGGTAACTTCCTTGACTAACTCCTTTGCGTACAATGATCTCGGAATTTCCCAAGACAAGGATTCTTTTCCTCAAAAAATCAATAATAAAATTAATGTAAAGGTGGTTGAAACCAAAATCAACAAGTACTCTGCAAAGAATGGAGACATTGACACAGTCAAAGGCTTTGCTCAGGTCCAGTACTGCTGCCAAAACATAAAAGCTCTTGGCTTTAAGATTGGCAACATTGTTTGTCACATCATTAATACATTGTGCTCTTGAGCGGTTTCTTCTGAAGGTGTATGACCTATCAGGAAGTAGTTGGCTTTTCGTAATGTGGTCTTCTAAGCTATTTTTAACAAGACCTTCAAGGCACTTAAAAACTACACTTAATAGACACATAGGTCTATTCTTGGTTATGATAGAAGAATCCAAATTTTTTAATGGAACATTTTAATTTTCCGCCATTAATCGCGTATTTTGCCTTTTTTAAAAATATCAGTCTTGAGAAATTCTAAGAAATTCTAAAGTATAAAGTATAAAGTATAAAGTATAAAGTATAAAGTATAAAGTATAAAGTATAAAGTATAAAGTATAAAGTATAAAGTATAAAGTATAAAGTATAAAGTATAAAGTATAAAGTATAAAGTATAAAGTATAAAGTATAAAGTATAAAGTATAAAGTATAAAGTATAAAGTATAAAGTATAAAGTATAAAGTATAAAGTATAAAGTATAAAGTATAAAGTATAAAGTATAAAGTATAAAGTATAAAGTATAAAGTATAAAGTATAAAGTATAAAGTATAAAGTATAAAGTATAAAGTATAAAGTATAAAGTATAAAGTATAAAGTATAAAGTATAAAGTATAAAGTATAAAGTATAAAGTATAAAGTATAAAGTATAAAGTATAAAGTATAATTTTAATTTTAATTTTAATTTTAATTTTAATTTTAATTTTAATTTTAATTTTAATTTTAATTTTAATTTTAATTTTAATTTTAATTTTAATTTTAATTTTAATTTTAATTTTAATTTTAATTTTAATTTTAATTTTAATTTTAATTTTAATTTTAATTTTAATTTTAATTTTAATTTTAATTTTAATTTTAATTTTAATTTTAATTTTAATTTTAATTTTAATTTTAATTTTAATTTTAATTTTAATTTTAATTTTAATTTTAATTTTAATTTTAATTTTAATTTTAATTTTAATTTTAATTTTAATTTTAATTTTAATTTTAATTTTAATTTTAATTTTAATTTTAATTTTAATTTTAATTTTAATTTTAATTTTAATTTTAATTTTAATTTTAATTTTAATTTTAATGTTTTTTTTTGTTTTTGACAATTTAAGGAAAAAATTGCAAAAAAGTTGCTTATGTGTGACCAGCCGTCAGAATGTTCCTATTGGAACTCTGGATTTTTTAATATATTGATTTTTTGTTACTATAATTTTATTTTTCAGTGCACCCACATGGATGGGTAAAAAAAATTCTCGCACCAAAGTATTGGTCATTTTTTGCAACGCGCCAAGCATGGTTAGAAAATCAACAGAATTAAAATAAGTTTTATTCCATTTCTTGAATTACAAATAATTAAAATAAATATTTAATAAAGTTAAATTATTTAAAATAATTACATACTTAAATAATTGTTGGAACAAAAGTAATTTGAAATCCCAAATTCTATGTTTCAGATGTTCCAAAAATTAATATGAAATTTTGATCCCACCGACCCTAAAAAGTACATATAAAGTTACTATAAAACAGTGGGGGGCAAACTCTCATTTTCCATAGCACGCGTGCATAGGCTAAGAAATTCTACCGCAGAGCGGCCGTTTTTTTTGAAAAAGAAATTTATTTACTATTAAAAATTTAGGTGATTCCTCTTACAAACATTCGCATTAATATAAAATTCCTTTCACTGTGAGGGTACCGGGTATAATACATTTTCGATATATTAATAACTTACCCAACTTTTTCTGATAACCTCAAGGTAACATCACATTTTCCTCTGGATTTTTCATTCTTTTTCGCACCAGTGGAATTATATTCGCTTATAGAATCTATTTTTAGCGAGTTCGATTGAACGTCGCAATTAAAGGTATCTTCCCAAAATTCTACAAACCATGGGTTTCGTTGATTTGAATATGGAGTTAACTGCATCATATACCTATCAAAATCTTCTATTATCTCTGATTGAAGCTCTACTGTAATTGCGCCCTCTGCAATTTCTTCTAATCCCTCCAGTAACTTTTGCTGCTTTCCCCAGCCGTCACTGGCAATCCAATGAAATGGTTGGGATAAATTGCCACGCTTTGCTGCTTGAAGAATTCCACGTGCATCTTCGGCCCGTGTAAAAAGCACAACTCCCCGCGCATTTTGTTTTTTTTTTAGCTTACTTATAATTGAGTCAAAAACTTTATCATCTGCAGCGCTAGGCACTTTTTCGGCTGCTGCTATGCAAACGTTACGCTCAGAAGCTTCTTTGTGAAATGCTTCAATACCATATTCTCCTAATGAAGGAATAGAATAAGTATTATTTGCAAAAACATGTTGCTTGAACTTACCATAAGATCCTTCCGAATGAATGGTGGATACGTAAGACCAGTTAAAATTTTTAACAATATCCACTAGTGCAACAGATTGAAATGTATCTGGTGGCACAGTTCTAGCAAACAGATCAAATCGTGATTTATCTGACAATGTTTTTGCCGTTGATGCCGGAGATATTTGTGGAATATGAAAAAGGCGCAATAAATTGGCCACCTGTAAAGACACTGAACTATAGGACCCGCCGATAACTCCAAATACAGGTCCGGATGATGTGTTTTTTTTTAGTTGAGGGCTAGATCCATCTAAACACTCAAAAGCTGATGTATCGAGATTGTTAAGTGAAGAGCGTACGAATTGCAGCGATTGATTAAGAGCATAAGTATCTCGTGAACACGTGTCTAATATATGGACACCTATCGTTATTCCTGGTAATATGTTGGTGTCATTATTAACCCGATCTATTGCATATAGCATTGCCTCCAAGCGCTGAACTCCTCTATTATATACCTTTGGTCCACATGGTGAGGCATCACCTTTTTCGTGCACTGGAAACAGCCCACCAAGAATAATGTCTCCGGGTATAAACACGGATACTGTTTCCTGAGCATAAGGACTATTAGGGTGTGCTGGAGCGGTCCAAAATAGAGCCACACAAGCAGCAAAAATTATGGTTTTTCTTAATCTACGCATGTTTTTGTTCTACGAAAACGATTACTTTGGAAACATAAAACACTTATGCTGAAACGAAAAAATTGATATGTAAAGATTGGTTAAAAATGTTGAAAAAAAATATATTTTGAAATCATCATTATGGAACCGCGTTGCTTTACCACGTCAACGTTAAATTTGTATAATCAGAACTTTAAATATTAAACTTAGAATTCAAAAATATACGATTTGTTATTTCACTATAATCAATATTACCCACCCGTATAGGTGGGGTTCTTATAGTTATTAATATCTTATATTGTTATAATAATAATCTTGCATACCCAAAATTATTCTGAAGTGTCTTTATTTTTTTTTTATTTAAAAAAATTTTATGCACACATAATTGTATCAATCAGGTATATGATTGGGATCGGGATCCTTTTCTAAGTCGATAAAAGATTGACCGACTGCAGTTCGTCCATCGGTCTGTCTTCTTCCACTAGTCTAGGAAAGTAGTCAAGACTTTACACCTATCCATTTCCGAATTTGCACACATCATTTATTTCATTACACGCAATATGTTAGTCGGAAGTGGCATACATATAACTGATTTATCGAAAATGCCCTAATTTTGTCTTATTATTTTAGAAAGTTGTGATTTGCTATGAATGCGATTTTTACGATCAACTAATTCGCTCTGTCAAGTTTAAGTGAAAAGGATAAGTGATTTGGCAGATATAAAACAAACTTCACTGCTTCGACTTACATATATACTGCGTGCAAAGAAAAGACAAATTTTTTTTATTATAGCTTTGCTTTTATTTATTGAATCTACTTGTAATTTGGAGACTAACAATAAGTTGTCGAATCTTAACATTAAAATTTAACTAACAGTATACTAAGACTGCATTCTGGTTGCGCGTCTCTCAGGTCGGTCGCTGGGTGGGTAAGTCATTGCGACGAAGGAGTGATTGGTTAGGGTGCACCGATAGCTTGGTTAAGTACTTTACCTTCTGTTCTGCGATCGCTTCTTTGACTGGTAGAATGTTTAAGTCGCGGTGTATGTTTTCGTTGCGAACAAACCACGGTGCCCCGGTGATTGTTTTCAAGATCTTCGCCTGAACTCTTTGAACTATGTCGATGTTGTTATTACTGGCGTTCCCCCACAACTGGGAGCCGTACATCCATATAGGTTTTAGTACCGAGTTGTACAGCAGGACTTTATATTCAAGGCTAAGAGGTGACCGAGCGTTGATAAGCCAATGAAGGTCGCTGGCTTTTAGCTTTAGGTGTGTTCTTTTGTAGATGTACTCCTTGGTATGTTACTTCATTTGCTTGTGGGAGTAGAGTGTTGTTTAATGTTATCGGCGGGCAGTTTTGCTTGTTCAGAGTGAACGTACCATGCTTGCATTTTAGTTCGTTCACTTTAATTCGCCAATCTGACAGCCATTTTTCGACATCGACCATATGAAGAGCTAGATGCGCAGTTGCTTGAATCGGGCATTTTGAGCGGCTAAGAATAGCTGTGTCATCGGCAAACGTGGATATTGTTAGACGTCTGCTTGTCGGGATATCTGCTGTGTAGAGGACATATAATATTGGCCCTAGCACGCTGCCTTGAGGAACTCCAGCTCTAACAGTGTAATCATCGTACATAGCGGTGTTGCACCTTACGACAAATTTTCTGTCGTGTCGTAAGACTCTAAAATCTTGTGGGTGCTGTAGGGGAGCATTGTCTTGATCTCCGCGTTCCGAATTTCGGATGTTATCCGGTTGACCTGCTCAATTGTTCCATGCTTTTCACGAAACCCAAATTGGTGTGACGGGATTCCTTCCTGGATTCTCAGGTATGTGTTTATCCGAGTCATTAGGCATTTTTCAAAGAGTTTAGATAGGCAAGAGAGTAGTCTTATAGGTCTATACGACGTGGGGATAGTGTAGTCTTTCCCCGGCTTTGCTATCATTATTTTAATTGTCTTTTTCCATCTCACTGGAAAGTGGCCAAGTTTTGCGATGGCATTAAATAGCTGGGTGAGAGTGCAAACGGCGCCGTATGGGAGCTCAATCATCATTTTCGGGGTTATGAGGTCGCAGCCCGGAGATTTTTTCGGATTCAGTTGTCGTTTGATGATGTTAACGATTTCGTTTGGGCGAAACTCAATCGAAACTCATGTTGAGGCTGGGGCTCATCTTATAGAGTCGGCAAAGTAAACGCATTGGTGGCAGGATTTTGTTGGAAGACATTTTTAAGACTGTTTGGCAAACGTGCTGGCTCTGTCTGCGTCGCTGTGCGCCCACCCGCCTACGGAATTTCTAATAGGCATCACGGTTTCTTTCGGTGAGCTCAGAGTTGGGTGAGCTCTCCATAGTGAGTATTTTGTACTGTTAGTTGAAAATTGCTCTATGTAGCGGCGGTGGACATAAGTTTCTTCTTGCTGTAGAGCTTGATCAAGTTGACGTGAGGCATGTTTGAAGCGTTGCTTAGCAGATGGCGATCTGTGACATTGCCATTCTCGACGTAAGCGTCGCTTTTCGTGGACGAAGTTGAAGAGCGGAGCCGAAGTTGATATACCCTTGCAGTTAAAAGCGGATATAAATCGCAAACATCGGATAAAGGTTGTCGGTCCTTATGAGAATATCATCATAAAACCAATTAATTACAATAAAATATTAAAACCTAAGCTTCTATCTTCAAAAATATCAAAGTTGGTATTTTTACCAAAAGCCATTTCCGATCATTCAGTTATATGTCAGCTATAAGGTATAGTCAACCGATCGTTATGAAATTTGGTAGATCGGATTAACTGACCAACACTAAAATATGTACCAAGTTCCAGCTTTCTATCTTCAAAAACACGAAAATTGGGTCACTTCCGATCGTTCAGTTATATGGCAGCTATAGGATATAGTCGGCCGATCCTTATGAAATTTAACATGTCGTAATGTTTTGCTCTCGTGTCAAATTTGAACTCTCTAACTTTAAAAACGTCAAAGTTATACCATTTCCGATTAATTAGTTATATGCCAGCTATAGGATATAGTCGGCCGATCCCGGCTGTTCCGACTTATATACTGCGTGCAAAGGAAAGAAAGTTTCAAGTCGATAGCTTTAAAACTAAGAGACTAGTTCGCGTAGAAACAGGCAGACGGACATGCTCATATCAACTCAGGAGGTGATCCTGATCAAGAATATATATACTTTATAGGATCGGAGATGCCTCCTTCACTGCCCGTTGATCCTATAATACCCTCTGCAAGGGTATAAAAGTACATTGAAGTGCACAACCTTGAAAATTTTTTGAGTTGGAAAGAATGAAGCGAAGAATATAAATGAACCAGTGATTGTGAAGGTCTTACTCGCAAAACGAATTAACTGAGTACTTGTTAAAGGTTGCATTTTAATGCATTGTAAAATATACGTTGAAATTGAAAGCATATTTGGAAGTATTTTCAGACGCTAAAATAAAAATAATTTGTTAGGATGCATCCGATAGAAGAACGCACTGTGAGAGGTTAATTGATTTATCAACTTATCAATTGACAATCAATTTATTTATCATGGATGCTACACAACACATTTCCACTTGAATTTCGCTTCAATTTCACTGCAGGGTGGCACACATGCCTGTTTATAGGTATTTCAAAAACATCGACAAAAGTTTGATTGAAAAGGAGTGAATAAATTTCCTAGTGATGAAATTATGTATAAGCTGTGTAAAAAATTAAAATTCTTAATATAATTTAAAATTTAAAATTTTAAAATCTTTATTTAATTTATTTACTTGTCTTTTTTTTGCGGTCTTTCAGAATAAAAGGAATGGTTCGTGTACCAGATAGTGCACAATCTAGCATTCCTGACTTCATTACACAGCTTAGAGGCCAAGACGACCAAGGTACGATCGGGAAACGAGCTATAAAACTATGTAGACAAGTCCATACGTTAACTAAGAAGAATTACTTAGGAAATTTAAATACTTGTTTTTAAATTTGAAGGACAGGAAAAAGAGATGTTAGGGAAGAGATTGCATCCCACCTTTAAACCTCATACCAGTTAAGACCTCTAACAGCATATGTTAGCATATTTTTTTGTACGGATTTTATGCGATCTTGATGTGCTCCATATTGGGGACTCCAGACACATGAACCGTACTCCAGTATCGGACGCTCCAAGGAAATAAATAATCTTTTAGTATTATAGGGGACGTTACTTTTTTTGACCACCCATTATTTAAAACAAGGACACCTTTAGTCTTATTAATCATTGTGGAAACATGGTCGTCAAATTCGTACACCGTAATAGGTGTACTATAGGTAATTGGTCGTAATAGGACACCATGATAATTAATTTGAGTTAATTTTGAGGGCAAGTCTGATGAGGGTAAGACCGATGAAGACAAAGCTTTACATCGTCTGCACATATAAGGACGAGAGATTTTGTTAAAGGAGGGGGCAAGTCGTTAATAAAAAGAATAAATTGTAACGGGCCAAGATGACTTCCTTGAGAGACTCTAGATGTAACACGGAGCTAGCGGGAATAAGCATTTTTAAATATTGACTATTATATTTATACTATATATATTGTTTGGTCATTGAGGCTCTTCAATGCCGTAAATCCGCTCCAAAAAAAAAGCCAAATTTAAGTAAACGCAAATTTGAATTATTCTGCAGGCAGATGAAACTGTGATCATCCAGTTTATGGTTTTAAGCAGTGGCTATGATACGGACAAAGAGTTCGGCCCGACTACACATACGCGAAGCTAAAGCTCTCGATAGCGGAAAGGGCGGCCCTACATAGACATTGTGAAGCTAAAGCTCTCTTAAAATAGGCCCGTTGAAGTCGAGGGGCCGAGAAGGAGTCGGTTTGCGACCAGCTAAGGCTATATGTCCATACTTTAGCTTAACTAATAACCTATAAATCAATTCTGCGGCTGCTGCCTAACCCGACATATTACTATACTATACTAGTTCTATACTATATTATACTATAGTACATCATACTATACTTTATGTATATACTATACTATTATACTATATACTACTATATTTAAAATAAAACGCTGTCTAGGTAGCTGGAGATCCACGTTAGG